TGGCATACTTACAATCCGCAAAACGCCTCAACTCCCGTCAAGCCCGGTGGGCCATGTTTTTCAGCCGTTTCGACTTCACGCTCACATACCACCCTGGAACCCGGAACACGAAGCCGACGCACTCTCCCGCCAGTTCTCCCGAGAAGCCCACTGAACACCCCAAGACTATCCTTAAACCAGATGTGTTGTTGCTTCCCTGACATGGGAGATAGAAGAAGTGGTGAGGACGGCACAGCGTTAGCAAGCCGATCCTGGTATAGGCCCTGAGAACAAGCTTTTTGTCTCTGAGTCCTCTTGTGGGCTCACGCGTCTAAGTTTGCCTGCCCTCCGGGAGCCAACCGCACAATTACCCTGCTCAAGAGACAGTTCTGGTGGCCTGGCATGGAGAAAGACACCCGGGAGTTTGTTGCTGCTTGTACCACTTGTGCCCGCAGTAAGGCATCCCATCAGGCCCTAGCTAGATTACTCCACCCCTTGCCATTCCCCCACAGAGCTTGGTCCCACATAGCATTGGACTTTGTCACCGGGTTGCCATTATCCCAAGGCAAAACCACTATTATGACGGTTGTCGACCGTTTTTCCAAAGCAGCTCATTTTGTTCCCCTCAATAAACTCCCCTCGGCTTTGGAAACGGCCAAACATTTAGACGACCAAGTATTCAGGGTGCATGGCCTCCCCCTTGACATAGTCTCTGACCGGGGCCCCCAGTTCATATCACGGGCGTGGAGTGCCTTTTGTAAAACTATTGGATCGGGACCAGCCTGTCTTCTAGGTACCACCCTCAGTCCAATGGTCATACAGAGAGGGCTAACCAGGTGTTGGAGACCTCCCTCCGCTGCATGCCTGAGAAGGACCCCTCTTCATGGGCATCACATCTGGCATGGGTGGAATATGCTTACAACAGCCTGACCAGCGCAGCGACTGGTGTCTCTGCCTTTGAGGCCTCTTTGGGCTATCAACCCCTCCTCTTGACTTCCGAGGTAGTAGACAGAGAGGTACCCTCAGTCCAAGAGTACATTGGCCAGTGTAAGAGGGTTTGGCAAAACACTTGCCAGGCCCTGGAAAGCAACCAACGGTTTGCCCAATCTTCTTTTTCAGTGTGGGCTCAGCGCCTCACTAATTGGTCCACCTGCCTTCCTTACACACCTGTGAGTCTTCAGCTCATCAGCCACTTGCAGCATAAAAGCCAGCCGGAACAGCCACCTGTTGCCAGTTCGTCAGTGATCTTTCCTGCTGCACTCGCTTCTGCCAAGCTGTTACGCTCCTGCGTCCTGCAGTCTTTGAATTGGTTGCTTTGACTACCATTTGATTCCTGCCACCTCTACCTATCCCACTCCTGGCTAATAAATCCTTCCAAGTTCATTGCGTCTGTGTGTGGGTCCTGTGCTCATTTCTCACGAAGCCTAACATGAACGATGACTCAAGTTTGTGATGTTTATTAGCGATACTGACGTTTCTGATGGATCTTAAATGCACCACGGCGCTACGAACGACGACCTAAGTTCGTGAGGGAGAGAACTTCCTAGCACTTTCCCATGTGAGTCGTAAGACAAACGGCTCTGGATAGACGAAAGCTGTTCCTTGAACCTCTACCTGTGTAAGGCCGTGGCGTTAAATCCTGTGATCCTGTGGCTTTTTTTTTTTGCCTAGGAGAGAGAATCATTTAGAGGAGATAACATTCCTGGTGAGTGTTTTTAGTTGGATATGTGGCGATTAGCATTCTGGCATTCGATTTGTAACATAAAAAAACAGTCAGGAATGACGTTGTTGAAAATGAAGATTGTTTTTTGTTGATGTAAGATATAACTGTGTTCTTATAAAAGGGGGGTAAACCATTGCAACTACAAGTGCGCGCCATTGCAAGGGCATTAGCATCGAGCTAAGCTAACATGCTCACGGCGAATACCGCTGTGGGCTTCATGTGAGCTAGGTTTACTGAATTGTTTATTTTCCCTGGCCAATTATCGCCACGTTGCCTTGTTTCGAATTAGAAGCTGTTTAAGAGAATTAGCCACATTGAGTGAATGCCTTGCGCAGTTCGTGCAGGCTGTTTTTTTTGGACTGATAGACTCATCAAAGGATTGAACTGCACCGTGGGACGGCAAGGACACTTTGAACTTCATGGCCACCCGTTTCCCTGGAGGGTGGTAGGACAGTTTAAAAGGATTCAAAATTTTTTTGGGACGAACCCAGTATCTTTTTTTATCTGAGACCTCAGACGTTTTTTTTCATGGGTCAAATCTGATACCAACCCTGATAGGAACCGATAACAACTTAACCTTGAACTTGTATTGCAAAAAATGGAATTGAATGCCCTCGGCATTGAGGGAGACTCTTAATAGTAGTAGAAATACAGCGTATTTGTACTTTTTCTTGTTTTTTTTCATTTCTTGTTGAGAGTTGGCGAAAATTCTTGGCAAAGGAATGTATTCCCAGTTTTTTTGTTGCCCGATTACTCTTTAAATTTCTGCCAGTGTGTCTTATTTCTGTTGGAAGTTTCCCTTGATTTGAAGTAGAGTTTGCTGTTGCCAATTTTACTGCAACCTAAGGTAAGTGCACCCTAACTCGAAAAGATTTGGATAATTTGATACACTTGAGAGACGTTGATTTATTTGTTCTTTGACAACTCACGAGAAGGGTGACACTGAGTAGCTGCACTTAGGGTGTCTACACATGCATGAGCGACGCTTGTAGCGATGAAACAGGTGGCACCGCTGCCACTTAACATTAGTTGTCATGGCTAATTATGCTCGAATGTGGCTACAAGATTTTTATACAGTTGAGCCCAGCGCCAACCCTGGATTTGGAGAATACACATGGCTTGCATTTACATTTTGTTTGTAAAACAATCGCAGTTCCTCCACCAGGGGAGTTTCTTCCTCCAGGTCCAAGGAAGAACTCCCTTAGGATAAAACTTCTGTTCATCAATGACTGAACAATTAACAATGCAAGTACTGTAGGTAGCTGTTCCGATCGGCGAGCTCAGGGAAACTGAAGCTGGAGTATAGAGACAACCAAAAGTGGAAGCTCCTAAGGAAAAACAATGACCTGTACAAAGCAGGAATCGACAGGATCCCGGAAGCACCACGATGGAGTAAATTCATGCGTTTGGGAACGAACAGCGGATGAAAACTGTTTTCGCTTTTGTTTGACCTTTACCAGCTGACCGCCGCCACCTTCAGAATTAATGAAGGATGTGAACGCGAAAGAGAATTAACAAGGATGTCTGCCTGGAGCGGGCGAAACGTCTTTTCCCGAACATGCTCGAATGCACCCGAATCACTGAGTTCATGTTGAAAATTTAACACAGATTTGCAATCATAAACACGCAGAGACTCAGTTAGTAAACTGTAGCACCAAATGTCAAAAACAGAAAATGAAGCCGATGCGACGGAAGGGTCAAAGACACACATCAGCACACTGTTGGCCATCTTGCCTCTCTCACAATCTGACTGTCAAAGTGTAAAATATCTTAAAACGCAGTGTCAAATAAATACAGTAAATATTCCCATCCCCGGAATTCTGTGAAAAGGAATTTCCTTCACCCGGAACAAAAACCTATGCATTAACATTTTGACTATGATATTACATGTTACCGGAACTTACGTAAGCGGAAATTCCACTACCCGGAACCCGGATTGAGACGTCATGCCGCGGGAGCTTAAATACACGCAACGCCCACCCGATGCTATGGAAAGACATGACGCTGAGACACATTTTCACTTCGCGTTTTTCGATCATCAGATTCGAAACGACAACGTGTGAGTTTTTATTGGCGTGCATTTTACTGTAATTGTGAATGATTTTAACTTTATTCACTTAACGTCCTGTAGAACGCGGCACAAGCTTAAAAGCAGCACCCACTCGACACGACCGAAGAAACGTGTTCGCTTCGCCGTTTTCATTCATCAGATTTGAAACGAAGACGTGTTTGTGACTTTTTACTGGCGTGCGTTTTACTGCAATTGCGAAAGATTTTAACTTTATTCACTTAAGTCGTGTAGATCATGGCATCGAAACATAGAAGAACTGTAATGACTGGAGCGGAGCGAGTGAAATGCATCCGTTTGAGCGAGGCTGGACACAAACTTAAAAACATCCAGCAGACACTTGGAGTCGGAAAGACGCAAATTTACGAAACTTTAAAAAACAAGGCATCGATTCAACTCCTGATGACAAGCCACCATCCAGCAAGGAAGCAATGCAAATGGCAACAAAAATCCTTCAGTATGCACAAGAATCACCAGACATCGGTGATCAATGGGACAGTTACTTGCAACTAGCAAGAAAACTGTATGACACGCAGGCAAACATTGTCATAAACCAAAGAATGCATCCAACAAAACAATCCAAAATCGACACATTTTTTTTCCCAAGACAGAAAAAAATAAACATTAATATACTGTACGTATTTTACTGTTGTGATTTTTTTGGATACACCTGTCTTGCAGTTTTTGTTATATAAACAGTTTTTGGACAGTATATTTTTGTATTTTATTGATTGTGTTTTTACATGTGTATTTTGTCAACATACTTGCAGGTTCATAAAGGACATGTACCATGCTCATTTCCCAAATGAGGAATTTCTATTATCAGGACAAATTGGACAGCGCAAACACGAGTCCGCACTAGAGAATATTTACTGTACTGTATTATTGATGTGTTCTTTATTCTAATACGTATTCGGGATTTGTACTTTTGTAGCTTTGTCAGTCTGGTCTATAAAGAGATGCACATCGTGAGTAATTTAACTGAATAAGGCAACACAACTGTCAAGTAATCATGTTGACCAGCTCATGCACCGTAATGAGAGTGATTGTCTTTAATAACTGATTACTGGATATCCGTTCATATGAGCTGACTGCCAGCATAAATAGCATACTTTGAGTAATGCAGCACATCTCACCGTCAAATTGTTCCGAGATGTTCAGAGGAGCGTGAAGTGCCTGAATGAAAGCCAACCAAACAAAAGCTTGACAACAAAAAGCTACACAACTGACCTTTGGCAGTGAAGTCCTTGAGCCTGAGCTCTGTGTTGTCATTGTCAGGACAGTAGTGATGCCAAGCGCCACTCTGGCTGGGGCCGCATCCATGTTAATCCAAAAGGAGACCCAGGACAGAATAACAATCAGCAGAGACGGGATGTACATCTGGATCAGGTAGTAGCCCATCTGACGCTCCAAGTGGAACCGCACTTCAATACAAGTAAATTTACCTGCAACATCACACAGACAGCAAACATTTTTTAGTTTGTATAACACGATTTTTTTTTTTTTTTTTTTAATGAGCTGCATCTGGAGATGTCAGCTTCTGGCAATTTACTGCTGCTCGTATTTACGTTGGACTTCAGCTGAAGTAAGGCGCTGCGCTATTACAGATTTTTAAGGCAGTTTTTTTTTTTTAATACAGTTAAGTCTGTAGTCTGTCAGTCACTTTCAGTGCCGAATCCACAAAGAATGAACTCCACCCATTGATCGTACTTTTGACTGCACTTCATTTGCACCCGCGGTTTGCTCCATCTTATCGTCTATTAACAAAACCCGTTTAGTGTTTTTCAGCGTTTTGGCCGCGTAATTTGGCGAAGGAGAAGAATCTTTAGTCTTTGTGCCTTCTCGGCAGCATGCGTGTACCAACACTGATTTTGATGGGGGAGGGGGGAATGTCCATGTTTGACAGCCCCGCCTGTAACGGGCAGCATTTTTCACAGCCCCCTTTTGTTCGGCAGAGATGTCTGCGCTGTTGGACAGTCTGCGCTGGTGCGGTTGGATGGATGGCTGGTGGAGCAGAGGCTGAAGAGAGGAGCGTCAGCGTGGAGCGCGGATGTGTGTGTATTTTGAACTGAGAGATGGCACTTGGAATTGAAGCGGAGATAAATGGAAAGGTGAAGTGAATCCAATCTCTGTTTTCATCACTGGACGCTACAGCTTCTTGTTTAGTTTCAACTTTGCATAAAGCAGACGTGGGGGAACGTCATGCACGCTGTGGGCATGACGTCTCTGATCCACTGGTGAAAAGAGACTTTGATTCTCTCCTCTTTCATTTATAACTACGTCAAACAACAAAGCGTAGGCAGGAATAGTTGTTACAATTGTATGATTGTCCATGTTTTATGTTACGTGTTCTAATATTTTTATTATTTTATGTTAATGTTCTGGAAAGCGCTTTGTTACAGCTGCAGCTGTTGTGAAAGCGCTACATAAATAAAGATGTATAAAAGATAATGATTATTATGATATTCCAGTACAAACACAGCAAGTTTGACTGCTGAGTACAGTTTGGACCTAATTGCAAAGTATAAATGCTGGCTTTACGCCAAGAACACCATAGCAGAACAGTGGTGCGTTGGAAGAGCAAGGTTAAATTTGCAGAATACGAGCTTGGGGTCCAGGCCAGAAATACAATGGCTGCAGGAAGGCACCATATTTGGAATGGATATCCGAATCTGTCAGTGCCCCAGGAGTTTCCAAACGCATGCCATCAGATGCAAAAGAAGTTGGCATGATTTGATGCAGAGGACAAAACAAAAAAAAAAAATCATATTACACCTCACAAGCTGCTCAGATGGTGGGGGTCCACCTCAACACCAGACCCTTAACACAATATAAATGATCCAGCAAACTTTACAAACCGAAGAAATATGATAGCCTGGAGGGAATTGACACAGGAGTGTGTTTCACAGGTCTTTGAAGGTAGGCTGTGTTTCATCCGTCCATCCATTATCTGAACTGCTTTATTCTCAGCAGGATTGCATGTGTGCTGGAGCCTCTCCCAGCTGTCTTCGGGCAGCAGGTGAGGGACACCGCGAACTGGTTGCCAGCCAATTGCAGGACACTCATAGACTGACAACCATTTCCAATCACACCTAGTGACAATTTAGTGTTCCATTATGTGGGAGGAAACCGGAGTACCCAGAGAAAACCCATGCGGGCAAGGGGAGAACATGCAAACTCCACGCAGGGAGACTGGAGTCGGAATCGAACCCTGCACCTCTGCACTGTGAGGTGGACGTCTGAACAGATCGACCACTGTGCCATGTTTATTTATATTAATTTAAATATTAGTTTACAATATTATTATTATTTATTAATATTCAACACCACTTATCTTGTACAGCAGGGGTGTCAAACTCATTTTTGTCACGGGCATGCAAACTCCACGCAGGGAGACTGGAGTCGGAATCGAACCCTGCACCTCTGCACTGTGAGGTGGACGTCTGAACAGATCGACCACTGTGCCATGTTTATTTATATTAATTTAAATATTAGTTTACAATATTATTATTATTTATTAATATTCAACACCACTTATCTTGTACAGCAGGGGTGTCAAACTCATTTTTGTCACGGGCCACATTTTAGTTATCGTTTCCCTTGGAGGGCCGTTATGACTGAAACCATATAAAAAAGTCAATAATAACAGTTTATTCAACTATTGTTTAATTTTCTGTAATGAGGGGTTTGGTCACAAGAAAATGCTTACAATATGTCTCTAATTTATTAAATATGAGAATTCTAAATTTTGGTCGAGATTTTGGCAAGCATCATGGAAGTGGACATGTTTGATTTGCTTTCATGGGCCACATAAAATGACGTGGCTGTCACGATTCGGTTTCTGGTCTGACCAGCAGGTGGCATGTGCGGTCTTCTGTGCACACCTGCTGCCAATCCAGTCATTATGGGACCAGGTATTTAAGGACTCTGCTTCAGCTCACCTGTGTCGGAGTATTGTTATTGCCTTGCTGTTTCCATGCCCTCTGACCACTTTGTTATAGACCTCGTCGTGTATACGCTTTTGGATACTCCCGGTAACATTGTTCTTGTTCTTATTGCTTTGTTTTGTGAATTGGCTTTTTCTTGCGTGTAGTTGTTACATTGTTTTTCGTTTGTATTCTCGGTACTATTTTCCTCTCTTGCCTTTTTTTTGGAAAGCGCTTTTTGTTATTCGTTTTTATTCTGTTCTTCCTGGTCCTTGTTCGGACCAGCGCTTTTTGTTCTACTTTGTCGATGCGAATTTTTGTATTAAACATTTTTGTAACGGAGACCTTGTTGGAGTCTGCACTTTTGGGATCCAATCTTATTTCGGCTCGTCCGAAACCGTGACAGATTTATTTTTTATTTTTTTTAATACCTCAAAGTATCTTGAAATCATATGTACCACAAACCATGCCTACTGTAGCATCGCGCTGGGTCTTATGTCATTCACCAGCTGTTGAATGAACCTAAAAGTTTGGACTTGGCCCATTATTTAACTCATGCAAATGAGCTTAATGCGAACAGGGAAGAAGGGTGAATGGGATCGGTAGAGAAATGTGATGGAGGAGGAAATGATGGGGAGAAGAGGGCCTCTCGCTTCCAGGCAGCTGGAGCAGCTTGTCCTCTCAGTGAAGCAATTTCTCCTCTTTTCTTCTTTGTGGTGTCCAGCTGCAGATGGCCCATTCTCGGTTTTGAGCCCAACTGCAACTAAATATGGCAAACCACGGGGAACTCAAACAGCCAAAAGATATTCTCTTCCCTTACAAAAGTGAAACAGAATCATTCAAGAGTGCTGAATTCTTTTTTTTTTTTTTTTTATTTCACGGATGATTACAGGC